TTCTTTCTTTCTTTCTTTCTTTCTTTCTTTCTTTCTTTCTTTCTTTCCTTCCTTCCTTCCTTCCTTCCTTTCCTTCCTTCCTTCCTTCTTTTTTTTTTTTGTTGTTGTTGTTTTGTTTTGTTTTTTGTCTTTCAAGACAGGGTTTTCTATGTAGCCTTGGCTGTCCTAGAACTTGCTCTGTAGACCAGGCTGTCTCCTGAGTGCTGGGATTAACGGCATGTGCCTCTACCGATCAACTGTCTTCAAGACTTTTATCCTTATTCTTTTACCCAAGATGCTGACACATCTGCCAGTGCCATCTTCTGCCATCTTGGGCCAGTTCCAAAGGATTCCTTTCTCAGCTCCAGTCCACGATGAACTGCCAGAAGATATGACAGGGATCGCACATACTCAGAGCCTTTTGCCTGGTTCTTTACCACTCACTGGTTTCCCCCACCCAGCCTTATTTAAGGACTTTTCTGCCTCAAGATATCCTTAAATGAGAGCATTCGGGGGCCTCTTCTCTTAATTCTCTTGTCCATGTCACTCTCGTCTACTGCTTCAATGACCATCCTGACTATGCGACCAATAACCAGATGTATAGCCTGTCTATATCCGGATACTTGAATGTATATTTTATACTTCTATTCATATGATTAGGGTGTTTTCATTTGTTAGGACATGTGTCTGGAGGATAAGATGGACCCTGACCTTATGAGCTCATGATCTAATAAGCAGATATAGCAGAAAATTAGAACACAGAGTGTCAGCAGAGAAAGCAGGACATAAGAAAAAAGCAATTAATCTAAGGGACTTGTGTCAGTTAGATTTGGCTGTAGGTGACAAAACAGCTCAAATCTGAGCTAGTGAGCTGGTTCAGTGGGTAAAGGTGCTTGCCAGCAAGGCTGACTGATAACATGAGTTTGATTCCCAGAAATCCCATGGAAGAAGGAGAGAACCAACTCCCAAAAGCACACTCACACACACACACACACACACACACACATTTCAACCAGCTAAAAGCCATGAAATAATTAGTCCAGAGCTAGCGTGATAGATCCAGGGTCCTAAAAGCCCTATGCTTTTCATTATTCTGCTCCTCTAACCCCTGCTCCTCAACAATGCTTCTACCTCAAAGACCCAAAATAGTCAATCAGATTCTAGCCAATGTAAAGGAAGATGGAGTGGAAAAGAGCATACTCACCTTTTAACACCAGTTCGCCAAAGTGGCACAAACTACTTCTGCCTAAGCCTTGGGCCAGGACTTAGTCACACAGCCACACCCAACTGCCAGGAATTCTGGAAAGTAAAGATATTTATTCCCTGCCAGCCGTGGAGACGGCTAAAATATAAGCCTCGGTGACAAGCATACGGATGTTAAGATGCAGGAAGTAGTTGCAGTTTCAAAAAGGCTCCTGATGAGTTGACACTTACCCTGAAATTGAGAAACTGAGATATGAGTCTAAGTTAACCAGGCAGAAAAGAGTGTTTGGGCTACAGGGGGCAGTTGGGTATTTTGTTTTCTTTAAGACAGCCTCATGCATCCCAGGCTTGCCTTGAATTAGAGCTGTAGCTGAGGATGACCTCGAACTGATGACCCTCTTGCTTCTATCTGCTGAGTGCTGAGCTTACAGATAAGTACCTCGCTGCCCTCTTTATGCTCTGCTGGGGATTGAACCCAGGGCTGTGTGCATGCTAGATAAGCACTCTGTCAATGGAGTCATGACCCCAGCCCCAGAGAGCATGTTTGAAAACACAGGTACTTTGAGTTTCTCCAGCATGGCATGGGTACCAGGTGTGTCAGCAGACACAGGTAGGATCTCGATGTGTGAGATGGGGAGGTGGGAAATATGTACACACTAGGGTGTTGTGAAATGGCCTGCTCTATCACTCTCTGCCTGATTCTTTTTAGATAGAAGCTTTCTCTCCACCTGGGGCTAGGCTGGCATCCCGGAAACCCAGCGATCTCTGTCTCTGTCCCCAACAGCAATAGGGTTACAGGAGCACATTCGGCTACTCCAGCTTTTTTTTTTTTTTTTTTTAAGAATCATTTATATTTTGTGTGCATTGGTGTTTTGCCCATATGTCTGTGAGAGGTGTCAGATCCCCTGGAACTGGAGTTACAGACGGTTGTGAGCTGCCGTGTGGGTACAAGGAACTGAACTCCAGTCTTCTAGAAGAGCAGCCAGGGCTATCAACCTCTGAGCCATCTCTCCAGCTTTTTATATGGATTGCTGGGATTTACAGTGTGTGTGTGTGCAGGCAGGGAACCCTCACGTCTGAGCAAGCACTCTTACCTACTGGGCTATCTCTCCAGCTGCCAGGGTCGCACAGTTTAGTCATCTTGAAAGGGAAGGCATGGCCCCTGCTGAGGAAAGAGGCTCACTGAGGGGTAGAGTAAAAGGCAGCACCTCAGCTAAAATTAGATTCCTGCAGAAAGCAGCCCTTGCACATTTTGGCCTTAGAAGTCCTTAAAGTTCCCTGGCACAGGCTTGAGTTACAAGAGATGTCGATTTGCAATTAGATCAGGTGCCCTGGGCAAGGAAGCTCTGGCAAGCCTGAAGCTGGGCACAAGCACCACTCACACACCACTGGTCGTTGGCAGAGTGGCCATTGGCCCTAGCACCTCAGCTTCTGGTCAATGTCTGGGCAACTTGTGGGGTGCCGAAGCCACACAAGCTGCCAACTGGGGCCTCCTCCCCAGACATATTACATGCCTTCCAAAGGTTGTGTTTATTTCTATGATGTGGCTACCAGACATGGGGTCAGGGCAGCCAGCTGGGCACAGGAACTCTGACTCTGCAAGAATGAGCTCAGTCCCCACAGCTCTGTCTCCACTGCCCTTCTTTGTTCCTATAGCAAGTGGACAATGACTGGCCCAGGTCACCTCAGATGGTTCAGCCAGCAATCCCAAATACTCTGACACCTACCTGCTCACTGTCTGACAGAGCCCCACAACCCACCGTTCCCCTGACCCCCTTCCATAACAAATGTACATTTTATATAGAGAGACTGAATACATGTGGACACCCGGGTCCTTATCTGTCGCCATATGCATACTTATTCTCACAAGTATCGTCTGTCACAGGCATGCTTCATATAGGCAGAGCCCTCCCACTGCACATATCACATACAGAACCCCCACAACCCCTGACACAAAGATTGCATACATAGACACTATGTATGTGCTCTTCTAACATGTCCGTACTCTCCATACTTCATGCTATATGTAGGTACTATACATGCACCAATAGCTACTTATCAGCTCCATGTCTCCACTAGTGTTGCTTCCTATGTTTTCAGAGCCAGGTTCCTAAACTTGCCGTTTGTTTGTTTGTTTGTTTGTTTGTAGGCAGGGTCTTTTTGTGTAGCATGTAGCTCTGGCTGTCCTGGAACTCGCTATGTAGACCAGGCTGACCTCAAATTCACAGAGATCCTCCCGAGTGGACTAAAGGTGTGTTGCCACCACCCCTGGCTCCAAGTTCTTATATTCATAGAAACCTTTGCCTTTGGGGCTGTAAGGAGACAGAGACTCAAAGAGGTAGCTGGAGAAGAGAGGACAGTGTCTCCATTACCCCCAACCCAAACGCATCTACACAGCCCATAGGAAAGGAGGAGGGTTGGCCTTTCCCCTAATACCCTATGAACTATTATGTGTCCCTGACGTCAGGGACATGAAGTTCTGGCAGGAGAGCTGCTGTGAAGCCTGGGCCCTGCACCTACTACACAAGATGCCCTGGAGACAACAGTCCCAGCCAACAGCCTGGAAGCCAAGTTTTACCAGGCCCACCAATGCAATGGGAGCAGAAGAAGCCTTGTGCAATACGAGTTGACCCAGGGGACATGAGGAAAGGGCAAAAGGCCTCCTAGGCCTCATGTCCCAGGCACTGAACCTGGATTTCCATAGCCTTATTTCCTGTCATCCTCACATCAAATGCCCCTTTCATCTTAGTCTCTTAAGGCATCAAGGATAGAACCCAGGGTCTTGCGTGTGGGGGGCCATAAATATACACCCCTTGTTTCTTTGTTTTGTTTTGTTGGTTTTTCAAGAGTTTCTCTGTGTAGGTTTAGATGTCCTGGACTCATTTTGTAGACCAGGTTGGCCTCAAACTCACAGTGATCGACTGCCTCTGCCTCCGCCTATGCCTCTGCCTCTCTGAATGCTGGGATTATAGGTGTGTGCCATTGCACTGGGCTCCCTTGTTTCTCTGTATTCTCCCAGACATGGAGCCCAAGAAGGTGCTCACAGCCAATAAATAGTAGTTTCTTTCTTTCTTTCTTTCTTTCTTTCTTTCTTTCTTTCTTTCTTT